TAAGGGACCCTTTATTTTAATCCATCATCCTTCCCCTCATCCTCTTCTTAGTTACAGCAGTTGGTGGAATAGGAAGAATTGTCCTCAAATCAACAAATAATAGACAGCTACAGGAGCTACGTTTTGGACCTCAAATGAGGGTATTTTGAAAGCCTGGGGAGAGAAGATCGCTATGGGTGAGGGTACTGGCTTGGCGTCTGTTAATCACAGCTGCCCCATGTATATTAAAGCAGTGCATGGGCTTGACAGTGGTCTTCATGTGCTGAAAGTGCCCAAGATGACCGAGACTCCCAGAGGATGGGGGCTATGAGGTATTTCTAACATAGGGTTGAAACAGTAAACATCCTGCTCTGCGTCCACCATGTGCTACTGCCTTGGAACCGCACGCTGTGCAGAGAAGGTCTGTGGTAGGTGGGCACAGGCCTAAGTGGTCATAACATCCCCTTCCTATTTAATCGAAATTAATTATCTGTGGTTTTCCCAACAGCTGCAGAATGTCTCTGGCTTTGATGGTGAGAATGAGGAACTGGAGAAGACATCACAGAAGCGATCTGTGAAATACCTGTGTGCTGTAGAGGTGACACTGCCCAACCATGGGGTACGCACCAGGGGAGTTGCCCTCGGCGAGACAGACATAGAAAATGGTGAAGGTACGTTTTGGATGCAGCTGGCACAGAGACTGGTCAATCTTGTGGTTGCAGTTTGTGGGTCTGATGTAGTATTTGAATTTAGCTGAAGGCAAGGGTCTGTGCGGGGCCTTGTGAGCTGCTGTGTTATGCAGCGAGGGATCCTGAGCATGCCTCTTCCCTCCCTGCTTTACACCAATATCACTTTCTTACCCTCCGTTCTCTTCCTCTGCCCCGCAGCGTTATTCATTCCCTATCGCAGCCACTTCTGGTGCGAACATGCCATGGGATTCTTCATACTGTGTCTGTGGCACAGCTCAGGTGCCAGCGGGGCTCTGCACTCCCCGCTGCCCCGAGCAGGGTCCTGACACAGGGCCGAGGGTCATGTGCTGCTGTGGGTAGGCACACAAAGCCCCTGTGAGGGTGCTGCCATGCTGCCAGCAACTCCTGAAACATAAGCAGCTTTCTTATCAGATCCATAAAGTGGTCCTTGGTTACGTTTCCTAGCGCTGGAGCGTGTCCAGAGAAGGACAACGGAGCTGGGGAGGGGTCTGGAGCACAAGTCTGATGAGGAGCGGCTGAGGGAACTGGGGGTGTTCAGTCTGGAGAAGAGGAGGCTGAGGGGAGACCTTATCGCTCTCTGCAACTCCCTGAAAGGGGGTTGTGGTGAGGTGGGGGTTGGTCTCTTCTCCCAAGTAACCAGTGACAGGACAAGAGGAAACAGCCTTGAGTTGCGCCAGGGGAGGTTTAGTTTAGATATTAGGAAAAAAAATGTCTTTACTGAGAGAGTGGTCAAGCATTGGAACAGGCTGTCCAGGGAAGTGGTGGAGTCACCATCACTGAAGGGGTTCAAAAAACGTGTGGATGTGGCACTTCAGGACATGGTTTAGTGGGTGGTGTTGGGTTGATGGTTAGACTTGATGATCTTGAAGGTCCTTTCCAACCTTAATGATTCTGTGATTCTATGATATGATTCTAGTGTGCTTCATATGCAGAGTGTCATCTTAATAACGTGCTCCTTGTTGTGTTCAGATCCTCTCGAGTTTGTCACAGCCTCGAGAAGAGTTCAGAAACTCGCAGTTGGGAAGGCTTTGTCTAGTGCCTTTCAGAAGATACTCCTCGTAGTCTTAGGTAAGGCCTATTGTTGTTTTAAGTGCTGGGGTGTTGGGGATAATGATATTATAACTTCCATGATAACTGATATGAATTCTTTTTCTCTGAAGCTTTCTTGGGATTCATTGAGGCTTGGGGGTGTCTCGGGCAAAATTAAACTTGTGGTCTGTAACAACTTAACAGAGGGATCTGGACAGGCTGGATCGA